ATTGATTTTCACAAGCTACCTTGTACCTGAAGTAACGAGAGTGGCAAATTACTTGTTCACTGAGCAAACATGACAGGAATGTCACAGAGGGAATTTATATATATGCAAATGCACAGGGGTCACATCGGTGTTACTTTTGCAAAGTGACCTTATTCACCAGAGGGGCATTTTTAAATCTGCACTAGCCTACACAGGAAAGGCTAAATAAAACTGCAAATACCTGCATTGTGTGGGATGTAGAAACTAACACAACTAATAACTAATGTAAGATTCAACACAGTACAGAACATAATTTAACTGGCTACATTATTTCTGTACAAGAGACTTGGGGTCTCAAGTGATTTCTACTACTCATTTAGGCTTTCTCTGAAGTAGCAAATAAAATATTTGTCATAAAAAGAAAAGTAAGAGGATGTGGGACTAATTTTCTATCAGGTTTTTGTCTCAAGCATTTTGTCATGATCCAGTAGAGAAATGGGCTTCTGCGCCTCTTTATGAACACTTGCATTCACAGGGTGTATGTGTTTGCAAAAGGAAAATGGATCTCACTGACAGTGAAAGTTTCCAAATATGTAAAGCAGGAATGAATGAATTTTGAACAGCTTCACAGAAGCTGATGTTTGTAAAGAAAAGAAAGATAAGGAGCAACAGAGAAAAATGCAGTTACTCCTAGGAACAGATGAGAATTTTATTTGTATATAAGCTTTTAAAGTTTTTTTCTCCTTGACAATAAAGATTATATGTGTTTGCGCTTCACCTAAAATCAGAAAGCAAGGCAATTTAGCACTGGCCATACAATATAAGGTAGTTCCCATGTGATTCTCCTCTAAGTCTGGGCTGTTGGAAAGGTGGCTGATCTCAAGCCCAGAAGCAAAGAAGGAAGTAGAAACTCAAAAGCTTATGGATGCTACATTGAAAATACATATCTGTGCATGGCATTTTCAGTACAGCCAAATGGTTGGACCACATCTGCTGTTGAGAGGGAGCTGACAGTGAGGTGGAGCAGTCATGAGGAAAGCCTGTGCAGCCTAGGAGTATATTCACAGTTTGCTGCTCTTGAGCCACAGAGGCTGAGGCGAAGGATTTCTGCTGACATGGCAACTCGTGGACCTTCTCTGCAGGATCACATGTGGTTTCACCCTGAGAAAAAAACTCCTGCAGTTTTTTGTCACTAATCACCAAAACAGTCTATTCTTGAGTACATGATACCAGATTGGTGATGATCTCATGAAGTGTGCTTCAGGGAAATGGAATTTTAGGGAGGAAAAGCAACAAATCCTATGAATTTATTCCATGTGTTATGGTGTTAGCGAAGAGCTGGGCACAGCAGAGCCATCTCACAGCCACTGCCTGTTTGAATTATGTGGGTGACATCTTTTTGTTATATTTTGAATGAGTCCCTGAACCAGAAAAGGAACTATCTTTCTTTTTCCCTTGCCTCAAAGCACATTGAGAATTGAACTCAAACACGTCAACCTTTCATGTCCTCTTCTGTGTGAAAGTGCTGAGAATTCCTTGAGTTTATTTCCAATATGCTGGGGTTTGAAACTGAAAGAAATTTTTTTTATGCATAAAGCTTGTATTTTTGTGTAAAATGGATTTTTCAATGTAGGCTTTTCTATAGCATGGCTATTCTCCGTTTGGATCAGCTTTGGCTTATGTGGCATTTTTGAAGGCTGTATGGATCATAGTGAGGGAGAGGTTCTGCAGAAAGAAAGGTAAACAGAAGACAAAAATGTCTCAAAGTGAAAACCTTTCAGGTTAATAGCTATAGTTTGTCTGTGGAGCTCTGCATCGCCTCTAGCAAAAGTGGACCTCATTTTAGAGCTCATTTATTCTAACACAGCGAGTTATGTTAGCGTAATAACGGTACTGTAATGGACTCAATTTTATTTCCTGGATGCACTTGCTTGACATGGATCAGGGTTGCAAGAGGCCAATAGTTATGTTTCAGAGCTGAGGTCAAATGATATCTAGTTTCAGTGTCTACTCAGTGCTATATCATGGGCTGTTTTGCAAATGCACAAACAGCATCAGAGTTTCTGAGCCCAGGTGATAATGCATGCACTCAGATACTGAGCATATCTTATGGCCTCTCCTTCATTACTAGCTATTGACCTGCTTTGCTGATGAAGTGCGTGCATCCCAACCACTCAGCTTCTTGTAGTAGAAACCCTCCATTTTTTATTTCTAGGCCTGTATTGCTACAGGCCCCTGTGTGTAGCAGGACTGCTGAGAACAGGGTGCTTCATACCTTGTTTGTGCTTATGCAGCCTCTTGTCTGTCCTTGGATTGACCACTGTGAGCAGACAATGCACACAACTACAGGTCTAGGTGTAGGATTATGCAGCATAATTAGTTTGAAGCTTAACATAATCTTCCAGTTTTTTCTGTTTGAGCTGCTGTATGTTATGAATGCTTTATCTGCTCAGATTTTTTTTTGGTACTTCTGCTGGTGGCCTCTGAACCATTAGTCTCAAGCTAGAACTGCTACTTGCACTGACTTTTCTGTTATTTATGCCTATTATGGGACTACTATTAGAAAAAGTTTAGATTTTTGTCCTTCTAAAGGTGAATACCACAGATAACTAATGCGGAATAATGTAATAGGCTTGTGGTACAAAAATGGTGTGTCGTTTTTCTCATGATTGGAAAACCTGGCAATGGCACTGAGTCCAGATTTTCAATATCAAAGCTGAAACCCTTCCCTTACTTTGCAGAAAACACTCTTTTCTCACTCAGACCTGGCTTACTCCTCTTGGGTGTGCTGGGCTGCGTGCAGAGCTTTGTATCTTCTCTCTGCCATCCTTCCAGAGGGGTTGCTGTTCACAGGCAGATAGGCTGGTTTTCTCCCTTTCTGTTGCTGGTCCTGTTTTTCCTTTTACATTTGTATTTTCTGATGCGCATTTGCTGCCAGTCACGCAGCACAGTGAGTGAATCTGGCATCAGCAGAATAGAGGAAGAAACAGTGTTAGAGTCAACCTTGCTTTAATGGTGCAAATCCCACTGGATTTTGAGCAGTGCCATGTAGGTGAGGAAGAAAGATTTGGTTTTAATGAGAGGTGACTTGGAACCAGCAGCATAACAGGTGCAGTATGAGAATCCAGAGTGAAAGAGTTAATTCATATTCTTTTCACAGAGATAGCTGTGAAAGAGCATATGCTGAATATGCATTCCAATTTCATTTTTTTGGTTCTTATTTACAGTGGCAAATAATGTATTTCCCTTTAGCTTTGAGTGTTTCATAAACCTGGAGCTGATGATGAATATGCAGTTTACACTCCAAAGTCACTGGAATCAGTCCAAGAAGGTAGAGCTTGGTGTGGTTCACAGTACACTATGACTTCCCCTGTGATTATTAATCAGTCAGGCTTTCCGAGGCACGTGCACCATCCTAGCTGCAGTACTTGCTTACTCCTCTCTCCTTTTGCTATCTGAACCTCTGGAAAACACACTGTAGATGTGTTACTTCTGTCAAAGAATGCTGAGTTCTTTGTTGCTTTGAATTCAGGTTTAAAAGGGTTTGGTGCACTTTTCAGTGGGTTCTTAATTTGAGTAATTGTGTTTTCTTACACAGAGCCTGATGTGGAAACTTAGAGGTGGTTAACAAGATCTCATCAATCTCCTGGAGAGCAAGATTGGCAGATTTGGGTGAAGTGGTCTGGTTTCAAGTCTGGAAATCATGACTGGAGTTTTGGCATGTGTGCTGCCTTATCAGCACATGGTGTTCTATTAGAAAGAAATTTGTTCAGAGGAAAGGAATTGTTTTAAAGGAATGGAAAATGATTTGGAACTTTGAACACACTACTGATTAATTCTGTACTAGAGCAGTCTGCATTTCATGGGGTTATGATTGCCCAAGATGGCATTGTACATGAAGAGAGCAAAACAGATGTGCTTGAATTTCTTTAGGTTTCTTATGAATGTAATAGGAAACAAATGTGCAACCATACTGAAGTAATGCACTTTTTCTGCTCAGAAAGGCAACCTAGTTCCACAGCAACAATTTTGTTCAAGTGATCAAATTTTCAGCTTTTCTAGTATAAGTGGTTTGAAATAGACATCATTGTCCTATTGACCTATCAGCAGAAACATGATCATCGTGCGGAGCTGTTTCTTAGCCAGCTCCCTAGGGTTCTTCTACAGAGAATGAAGTGAGAGGGATTCATTATTATACCTCTTCCCACTCTCTGCACAACTGGAGCCTACATCCCTGAACTTGTCTTTTTGGCAGGTAGGAGGGCATTTTGACTTTGGAGGAAGTTACTGAAAGATAGTAAAGTCATGTGTTATCTTGTACTTGAACCGCCATGGTTGCTTGCTGTCACAGTGAAAACATCATTGAGCGAGATGAGGGGAGGTGTGTGAAGTTTCTCTTGGTGCAGTAAATCAAACCTTTTCATTACCCAAAGGTAGACAGGAGAGAGACTGGTGAATCTGCCCTTCTTGAGTTCATGTTTCCAAACCATTCATGTCTTCCTAACAGGATTTCTCTGTGGGAGGATTGGTACATGTGCTAGACTGTTCAAATCTGTTAGTGCCTTGTTACTTGTGCGCACAATTCAAAAAGAGCCGCAATCCCAAAAGTTAAAAAGATCACAGTATAGTCAGAAAGAACCACATTGACCATGACCGGCCCCAGACACAGTAGTGAAACTGTTCTGTTTATCAAAACCTGCTCACAGCTGCATGGATTCATCCTTACTACCAGCCTTGGAGTCTACTGTGGTTATGAACAATGCTTGTGCCTTGAGAGAAATGATGATGATGTTGAATTCACCCAGTACTGACTAGGGTGGAGGAATGCTGGCAGACCAGTGAGGGAGGTTATACTGCTGCTCTGTTTCGTATACCTCATTTAGAGCTAAACAGAATTTAAGACTTGAGGGTTATCAGCCAGAAACTCATAAAAACTTAGTCAATTCTCTCTGAATTAAGCCAAAATTGTCTTTTAAAAAAGTCTTAAGATAATATTTATTTTTGTGTATGTTTGTTTTCAGGATGAATAAGAGATACTTACAGAAGGCAACAAAAGGAAAACTGCTAATAATAATATTTGTTGTAACGCTGTGGGGGAAATTAGCATCTGGGGCAAATCATCATAAAGGTAAGAAGTTCTTTTCTGTTCTATTATACTTTTGTATCTGTGGACTCTATCAACAAATTCAAAAGTGCCTAGTCTATGTGACCTTTTTCACTTACATGTATTTGTGTCTTCTGATATTGGTTCACTAATCAGTACCAAAGAATGAGAGTTTTCAGTAGATAGACTTTTATTAATTTATTGAGAATTTAAGTACTTCAGTGCCATTTTCAGCATTCTCTGACTTTAGGTCATTTTGTAATGATAGTACAGTTGAAAATATGCTAAAAAAAGGGTGGTAAAGTAAAAAATCAAATAATGAATACCGCTTATCTCATAAAAATAGTTAGCAGATAGGTATGCTGCAAATGAATTCCTGGAATGGACCCTAGAAAGAAACAAGTTTTAGTAACATTTATGATGCGACTGTTTGCAGTTATCTGTCAAGGCTAACGTCATGGATAATGTGTGCTGAATGTGATGGTTTCATCACCAAGAAAAGACCGCTGCTTTGCGGTCTTGTTGTCTGACTTCTATGCTTCACTCCTAACACTGGACCAGGAACTGTGGTAGCTTGTGACAGTGTGAGATTTCTTTCCTCTTGGTCATTCCAACCCTTAATATGTATACACACCAGCATAAGCTGTAATGGTTTATAGAAGCTTGTAAAAAGGTCTCTTTTGTGTGTGTGTGTTTCTGTAAATCCTATGCAAGGAGTGAGCTCTCTAGATTCACATACTAATGTCTTCTTACAGGCTGATATAACTTGAAATGTAATCTGCAGTATAATATGATTTTGAACTCCATTTCTCATCATCATATACTGTCTGTTCATCCGCTTATAAAAGATCAGAATAAACTCTTAACAACTTGGATAAAGTAAGAATGGAACATGAACAGTACCAAGACCTAAGGAGTTAAATCCAGGAAAAGGATTCCAAAAACACCAGTCAGTTAATTCTGTGTGTTTGTGTACATTTTATAATGTTCACTCTGATTATAGGATTTCATGGGCAGGTATTTTTATATAGCAGGTATTTTCTGTTGTGTGAGGACATCTTTCTTCAAAATACCTCAATGATTAAGGATTTCAGGTTGCAGAGACACTGTCTGCAAAGTCTTGGCAAGTTGTAATTTGGCTGCAGACAAAACAGATTCTGATGTGGTCCTGCAGGCCACCAAAGATGGACATCATGCCAGATAACAACTGTGCTGACACCCTTTGCTCAGCCTTTGTTCCCCCTCCAAACTGGAATATGGATTTGTGCTGTGGCTTCCCGGTTTAGTTGCCTATTGGAAAAGAGCCAAGATATCCTAGCCTGGATTTAGAATTCTTTGTCTTTGATTATCTTTCTTTAAAAATCAAAAAGCCCATATACAGACCATTTTGGTTTCATACACAAGGACTGGTCAAGCTGTGTTTGCTTCAATTGAATTCAAACTTTTCCAAAGTATGCTTGTGACTCTTTTTGAAAATCTGATGAGTAAAACCTATCACCAAGTATTTCACAGAAACAAATTATGATCCTAAGGACAATTTGAGGAATTAGTGCTTCATAATTGAGAATAAAATGATCCACCACCAATTTTAGCTTTTCTGTGCAAGGGAAACCCCAGCAGAACTACACTATTAATTATCTGGACAGTATTTAGCATTTAAGCCTCAGCCTTAGAACAGAAATAACTTAAGAAATATTTAACTTAATCTTTTTGGATAAAAAAATAAATATGTGCTTGAGCCCCTCCGCAAAATCAGATTATTAGCTGTAGAGACTTCTTACATTCCTGCAAGTTAACAGAAAGCTTCTTTTTCTTTAATTTGTAATTTTTCATGCCTATAACAAAATATATGAATAAATCTTGAAGGGAAAAATAATAGTAAGAAGCATGACTTGAGTGTTTAATTTGGAAAAGCAGCTATTGAACATGTTTGGTTTCTTTTGGAAAGAAAAAATATTCAGATTTTTTGAGGATTTTTGTGGATTTAGTAAATCAGCTGTACTCACTGTATATGGGGTATTTTTTAAAAAGCACAAATCAGAGCTATGTGGCTCAAATACCATTGATTTCCAAAGATACTGGGAGTTTAACTTCCTGTCATGTCATAGAAAATCTTCCCCCCTACTCTCATGGCAGAAACAGAGCTAAGGTACATTCAAGGAGAACTTGACTGTGTTCACCAATATCCTCCGAATACTGAGAAATGTGTGAGTTTCATCAGCACTAATTATCCCTAGCATCATTAATCTTCATTTTTAGAAATCTTTACTAACATATTGACAAGACAAACCCAATGACTTTGAAGAAGCCCCTACAATTTCAAAAATCAATAATCTGCATTTTAAAAAAATCTTTACTTTCCGATAGACTTTCTCATATTATGCACTAGTTGCTCTAACTCGCAAACCCATCTCTTTTTCAGAAGGCAATTGTAAAAGAAAAGAAAAAGAAGAAAAATATAATCAGTGCGTGAGAAATGGTTTAATGAGCATTCTGCTCTCCAGGCAGACTTCAGGAAGAATATAAACAGATGACTCTGACAGGCTATCTCTAGGCTTGTTGCACTTATTTCAGGGATATGGCACAAATGAGAACTCCCAAGTCAGCAGAAAGTAAACCAGAGGCCGAGGCATGGCATGGGGAACCAGGCTCTGAGGTCCAGTTGAGCAACCCATCAGGGTTACAAACTAGGATTTCAGATTACATCTTTTCAGTGTGTTGTGGGTACCAAATCCATCCTTCTTTTTCTTGAGAAGTCAGATTTGAAGACACTTCTGCTTCCATTATCTAGGCTGATTGCTGAAGTTTCATCATTCTGAACAGAAAGTCCAACAGCTAAAAAAGGTAAACACTTAGTGTTTAAAACAACACAAAGCTCACTTTTTTCTGCATAGAGACTTATGAGTTTTCCTGCATAATTCCTGGCTGTGCACATCCTTACATTCTGTTTATCCTATCTTCTGTAAAAAACCCTCAATAAATCTGCTTTTTCTTTCTCGTTTTGCTGAGGACCCTGATACGAGGTGATGAGTGTCTCAGTCAAGCACACGCACACATGAGTCAGCTCTCAGTACCAGATCAATTTGTGCTGCAGTAGCTACGTATGAGAAGAGAGGTATATCAATCTCCAAAAGGATGTTGTCAAGATTATGAGTCTAAAAACTGATAAAGACTGATCCTGATCCTCCTACTCATTGCTAGCCCTTGGAAAACAAACCTGTGCAAACATACAGTGTGTGCTGGCACATATGGCAGGCAGGCATCAGTTCAGCATCACTTCCTGTTTGCTATTTCTGTCATAGGGAGCATGAATTGATTTGGTGACCATTGTATCACAGCCCTTGTTTAAGGCTTCAAGTGTTGGATCCTTTTGAGAAAGAAATATACTGATAGCCCATTACAAGCACTCTTTTGTAGACAAGAGCCTGCTGTGACACAATTTCTACCCTAAAACTAAAAACTTTTTCAAAATTTATGTTTCTGTGACTTTTTGATTACTAAGTTTTTTGTACGGATAATACAATAAAATATCCTAACTAAATTAAGAGTTAGTTTGAATCTAAGCATAGTTTAATATTTCTCAAAATACAAACCAATACATTTTATATTAATTTTACATCCTTGGGGAAACAAAAGTTTAAAAAGTTTTTATTTAAAAATATAACTAATCATGAATGCTTACATGCCAGAAGGAACTTGTTATGAAATCAGAAAACACTCCAGGTAGATAAATAAAGTAATTGAGTATTTTTGGACTTAATAGATAAAAAGTCATGATAATTTATTTTCATTTAAAAAAAAGTCACTCAGAAGCTGAACTTATTCATCTGACGCCTATCATATGGTTAAAATAAGCTAAACCATCGTTGACTGCTCCTACTTGTCTGCGAATTTGCACTAAATTAGAAGTCTGAGGGAATGTCTTTTTATTTGCAAGGAGATCATGAATCTTGGTTTCTCCTTGCAGAGGAGTAGCTGTTCTGAAACCCAGCTGAGCTGCAACCGAAGCCACTTACCAGTGGGCGGCTCCAGTGATCTGACTGCTGCCCTGCTTGACTCCCTGCACACACCATACTCACACAGATAGACAAGGTTTCGTTACCTCCTCAAGCCTAGGATTCCCTGGGTATCTTATTCTCTTTGGATATCTCAGAATTTTAGATTGCTCTGGAAGGGCTTTTAAGCCTTATGCCAGATTTGTCATGTTTTCAGAAAAATGAACTGAAAGGTGGCAAGCCTTGAACAAGTCTCCATACAGTCTAACATATGTCCCTCTGTGTGTATCTTTGAGAATGTAACTTTTTAGGGGAAGAAATCTCATAGTAGCGAACAAATTTAATAAAATGTGATATCATAGTTCAGTGTGGGCAGTAGTACACCTGGTTCTGGGGGGCAACTGGAAGCCCTCACAAACAGATGGGATGGTGCAAGTTTGTTCTTTTGGCTTCTGCCATTCAGCAGGGCTCTCTTAGCAAGTGCAGTAATGCTAACATTGCACTGAATCAGCATGTGACAGGCTCTGCCTGACCCCTGGGCTTTTTTTTTTTTACTGATTTGTACCGTAGAGAGAGACTATAGCACTTTCCTAAAAGGTATGTGTATGTGGTCCCTCAATGCCCTCATGTCTGTTTTATGCACAAGGGGTGAAATTCATTAGTGATAAGAACAGCTGTTTACATGGTTTATTAGGTCATTTATGTAATATTTGCAGTAACCTCGTATTTGTGGTTCTTTTGTATCACTAGGACAGTGCAAGGGACTTGAGGCATGTTGGTGAATCTTGTGCAATGCTTTCCAAACCCTTAGTGTTGTGAATCATGCCTTAAAGATTGTAATAGATTTTGTCCTAGTGAAACTTTCTCCTTACAGTTATTGACTGACTGATATTCATCTAGTCACTTATTTGTAACTATTTGCTCTACATATAGTTACATGTTCAGATGTCAGCATATAAAGCCCACTACTGGCTTGCAGTCCCTGGACTTCCAGAACAAAACTTTATTATCAAAATTACTGTATATTAT